ACAACGGGAGTAATTTACTTCCTTGGTGGAAATTCAGTCACTTGGGTGTCACAGAAGCAGAGAGTGGTGGCACTCTCCTCATGCGAAGCTGAGTACGTGGCCGCTACAGCTGCAGCGTGTCAAGGTATTTGGCTCAGTCGGTTGTTGAGTGAAATAAAGGGAGGTGAACCTGTCAAAACAGTTCTCAAGGTAGACAACAAATCAGCCATTGCTCTCACGAAGAACCCTGTACATCACGACAGAAGTAAACACATTGATACCAAGTATCATTTTATTCGCGACTGTGTTCAGAAGAAGGAGATTGAAGTGGAGTATGTCAGGACAGAAGATCAGCTGGCTGATATTTTGACAAAGCCACTCGGTCGACAAAGGTTTGTCGAGTTGCGTGAGAAGATTGGTTTGAAGAATGTGAAGCAAATACAACAAGATTAAGGGGGTGAATGTTGAGTTAATCATGTTGAGTTTGATTTCCACGTTTAATTAGCTAGTTAGTTAGTTTTATTTCTGTAAATCTTGTGTTAGTGGAACGAGTCCTGGGTAGGCGTGGCTTGAATTTCGGATCACAACAAACCTGTAATTGGTTATAAATTGTAGTTAGATTTGTGTAGGCAATGTATCTTCTTCGCATCTTCATCAATTAAATAAAGTATTACTCCTTCAACCTGGTGTATCCGCTTTGTGTGTGTCAGTTTTCTCCTGTTTTAATCCAACAAGAGAGAGAGGGGGTTTGCTTTCTTGATGGCCGTGCAGAAGGAAGGATCTGGACCGTTAAGCAGGCGAGTGCGTGAACGGTTGTTACGTGTCGGGAGCCATTCCGCCCGGTTAATATGCTTTCTATGGAGGCCTCTCTACAAAATCAAAATTTTCCGAAGTTGTTTGTTATACTGATATTTTATTTTCTTATTATTTTTTATGGTTACGGATATTTTATTGTTAGCATATTATTTTTATTTTATTATACTCTTTGTTTTGAATATGTTTATCGTTTTTAAACATCTATATTATATTTGTATGTTTATTAATTGTTTGTACATCATCCTATATGCTTTCAATGAATAGCGTTTTTAGCTATGTTTCTTTCACAGGGTCGGCAAACTGCGATTTGTGTGTGTGTCGTGTGGGGGTGGGGGGGTGGTTTTGTTTTTTGGCCTTACCTAGATCATGTAAGGAAAATACTACACTGCACACCCTCCGCTCGAGCTGCTCCAGCTACAGTCGCAGGGAACCCCACTTGAAGGTTTTTAAATAAAAATCTCAAGTGGGACGCCTGTGGACTGAGGGAGAGGGAGTGTGCACCGAGAAGTCCAACGGTATGTCTGTCAGTGCCACCGCATCCAATGTATATAGCGCCAGACGCAAAATTAAGTCGCTCCCTCAGCCCAGTTTTTTCGGTTGGGGGGCGGCGCCCGCCGGGGGCGGGGTTGCCGCTTACTTTAACAAATGTAAGAAAACACTAGAGGCACACATTGGGGCACACCTCCCTCTCTCAGCTAAAGTGCACGGGACCCACTTAAGATTTTTAAATAAATCTCAAATGGGTCCCGTGCATTGTAGTTGAGAGAGGAAGGTGTGCCTGTAGTGCCACCCACAATGTAAAGCCCAGCCCAAATTTGAGTCGCTCCCCAGCCCAGTTTTCAGTGTAGAAGGCTCATACTGCTTAACCAATGGGAAAGCTTTTTGACATACGACCGAATCCAATACATGTCGTACCACAGTGACCCAGGTCCAAGCTCGTTCCCCATTTACTTTATAGGCCGATTTAGTTTCAATCTTTGTCATTTTTACAAATTGTAATTTAGCCCAAAGCTTAATGTTTTTATCGCTTTAAACTCTCGTGTGATTTTCTTCTTCCCAATCAAATACCATTTGCAAGATGGTAAGCATATTTACAATCAACCAATCTAACTTGCAACTTGTTAAGGTGGACAGCATACTGACCACTAGCACCCAACTTTGTACAGACATTTTATTCTCTGGTCATTTGCCAGGATTAGCATCCGAGAAGATAACCAAAAAAAAGGGGAAATCTGGGAGAATTAATACGGCATCTTTACAATTAGGATAATATCCAGCAGAGAAACAACTAGTTCAGGCACAAAATTTCTCCAATTTTCACCAATCTGATGTACCTGAGCTATGAATCGTACTGCTTCCTCTCTTGCTGTATAAATCGAAATATCCTAGCCGCTGACTCTGTAGCCAACCTAGCATTACGCGGTATAACCCTGATCACACCACTCCGGTTGCATTTATCAGCCGACTCCGATGCCCTTTTACTGCCATTTGAATCAGACAAAGGCAATGAATTCTTTTCTCCATTTTGTGCACTTCCATTAGGACATGTCACTGTGCTTCCTTGCGTGTCACAACCTTTTGATCCCTGAGACTTCTGAAACTGACCAGAAACATTATCATTCTTTGGATTTGATTGTTCGATGGTAGATGATGACATGATTGGCTTTGTGATTGGAGTATTGTATGGAGATGGGAAGTAAATTGGAGGTTGTTGATGATATGGAGCCATATTAAAATCCATAGATACCGCAGCAAAGCTCAGAGGTGGATAGTTTCCATAGATAGGGGGTGTGAAGCTCGGAGTTGGAGGACAAGAACCAGGATAGGGTTTATATATAAGTCCTTCAGAAGGGGACATCACAGGAACCAGCCATTGATTCTGGTGTGGATTGAAACACCAAGGATTTGGTCTATTATCAGGAGCTGAGGGAACTTGATTATGCTCGTTTCTTGTGTTCTCTTCTAGGGTTTCTGAGTTATCCTTTCGTTCCTTGGATGAAGCTTCTTGTTCAATATTTGGTTGATGAGACTTCTCTGAAATGTCAGGCGTTGTAACCTTTGTGGGTATTTTTGAAGGAGACTCGCTTAAATAAACATCAACCTTGATGGCATCTGGGCATGCAGCGAGCAACTTCTGCACCTGTGTGAAGAATAAAATTTAAATTTTTGTTAGTTATTTGGTGTGTTTGACGTATAAATGAGTATCGACTGAAGGTAACATACCTTTATCAATCTATGTAGCTCAAACACTTGTATTGAAAAAATTCTCTGTTGACTGCAAAAAAATCAAGATTGGCCACTTGATCACCAGAAAAAGAAATAATCGAATTAAAAGATATTACCAACAAAGATTAGCAGATGGGCTGAGAAAATTAGAGGAAAGCAGGTAAACATTTGTTGTATAATTATCTAACATTTGTTTCTTCACTGTCAACAACAATGAAATTAATAGAATGCTCTGTTATTGATAAGAATATCAACATTTTGCATGTACTCTCAGGGGTGCATTACCACAAAAAAAAAGAAGGAAAAACTGCTATTGAAGAGCACACCAACATTTTTAAAAGTATTACAGGCATAATAACTAGTAGAAGAGCTTGTAAGACATGTTAATGACTTAAGAGAGGTCATCAGACCACATATCGCCTTAACAACATAATATGAGAAATGTCAGTGGAAGGATTCCTCCCTTTAAAGTTCAGGAGGAAAAAAGCAAAGCAGTGGATACTTACTTGACTATAGCTCTTCTTGCTTTCCAGAAATGCTTAGGACCGATTACTCCAACAACATCGTCAGGACATACAACCATGCTTGGCTCAGGGTCCAGCAATGAGCCCTCAGAGACTTCCTTATTGTCTAAGTCTTCAAGTTCCAGCGACCTATTATCCTTGTGGTTACTTTCTTGACTAACTTTTTCTGCTTCACTAAGAGCAACATGACTGTTCTTAATTAAGGTTTCAGAACATGATTCTCTTCTATCGGTTAGATTATCTCCTTTGTCCACAACATCAAATCCTGAATCTTTAACAGCATAAGCAGCATCTGTATCGTTTTCATCTAAATATGTCTTGGCAAAGTTTGAGGATTCGGAAAATCTTATTCTGAAATCAGGTACCATGGCAGCTTTGTTAACGGAAGCTGATGTGTGTCTTTGTTCAACATGGTTGCGTTCAATGTTCTTTAACATCACGCCTTTAGTATATGTTCCTTTCAGTGTCTTTCCAATAGAACTTGGAGATGAACTAGAAGAAATCTTCGGAGGATCTGTGACACACCATGGAGTCAATCTGTCGGACTCAATTTTAGATAACATTTTATTGGAAAATGTGGCAGTTACGGACTGCATAAAGGTAGGAACCATAGAGTCATCACTATCGTCAGAGAAACTCTGACGAGATTTCTTTGCATTAGTAGGGTCAGATAGGTGCAATGAATTACCAGCTGAATCATTTGCACTAAAAATATCATTATTAGCTTGCCTTTTGGAAGATCTTAGAATTTCTATTCTTGTGGAAGTGAGACTCATATTGTCAGAGGATTGAAAATGAACCCTTTTCTCTAAATGGACTGATGGCTGAGCAGGCACATCAGGAGGAGGGAAGACACTCTTCTCTTGACGATAACCCTGCAAACCATATAATAGACCATTAACATCAGTCCTTGTGCACTTGTCAGCAAAAAATGATCACCCCACGTTTGGAATCAAAAGTATAATTGCTTGAGAATTTGACTCAAAATACCTGCAGGTCATAGTCACTTAATGCCCAATACTGTAAGTTCACATACGCATGCAACACACAAAAGACTAGAGAGTTTTATCTCAAGTATGCATGGAGAGTTTATTTCAATAGCAATCCAAAGAAGAATAATAGTCTATACTATAAATTGTAAAATAATTTGGGCAGGCAAATTGGATGCGCGAATTGAATTTTAAGCAAACAAATAAAAGTAAACAAATTCAATACCCACAATTAAATGCACCAAGATTAAGATTTCTTTCCCCTCGTAACAACGGTGGAGTCTAAATGCAATATAGAAAAATGTAGGTGATAATTGCGATCAAAAGAACTAACCTTTTTCTCAAATTGCAAGTTAAATTAAGAGCAGACTGAGAGACATGGGATGGACCATAAGGTCACCAAAAGAAAGGACGACCTCCAAAGAGAGCAATTCCTCTTGCACAATATTTATAAAATTACAATTCGATCCTGGAGCCCACTGGTGATAAGGTTGAGAACCGAAATCTAATAGAGCTAATAATACTAAATGGATAAGAGGTGTGAGCTATTTAAACCAGAGGTGTAAAGAGACATATGTGCTCCTTTTTTCCTTCAAGAAACTGCAACCTGGAGAGTTTTAGGTGGACCGTGGAACCATCTCATATAGAAAAGAAAATGGAATATATAGTTCCAGATTTTCGAGACATATAACTTAGAGCTTCAGGACGAACTAATGAGATACAATTAATTATATAAAGGCTGTCAGAATAAGATATTCCTGCAGCTAATCATCAATAAATCAGACTTATCAGTAGGATGAAAGTTCTAACCCACAGAAAAGATGATAGCACTTTAAGAGTTAAGTAAATGTTAGTTCTGTGAGATTTCAAAACACAAAATTCTATCTTTGCATAAAGGGTAATAATGTTTCCAAACAACACACTCCCAAGAAATCTTGATAGTTAAGATGTTCGGAACTGTATGCTAACAAAAAGAACAGTATTTGATTGTTAGCCCACAGAGATCAGGAGTCACAAGAGACGCAGTTAAATTAACTGCTTGGGTAAAGTCAGCTGTTTACAAAAATTAAAGTAATGATTTGATATGGAAATATTCTGATAAGAAGACTTTACTCAACAATTCAGTGCAATTTCCCATTTTTTCATGGAAGATTTGAAAACTCCAACGATGAAAGTAACATCAAAGAAAAAGGAAACTGAATATCCAGAAATAGTGAACAAAGCAAAGGGTCACAACTGTAATGAAAAATATTAAAAAAAACTAGCTGATTACCTAAGATAAAAGTATTAAGTAATGGCGCAAGTATAAGCTTTTAAGGAATTGAACTTTTTTTTAGGCAACAAGACTGCAGAACTCCTAAAATAGGTAAGAATAAAGAGATGTGTAGTACACTTACTGGTACAGTATATTTGTACGATGCACAGTTCAAACGATACTCCAATAGAAATGCAAGGTAAGTTATTATAATGGAGAAACGAGCAGATGAGTGACTGAGCTCCATTTAGAATTTTCATATGTAAAATAGATTTATTAGACATACTACATGCTTACACATTCTTGTGTTTTATTTGTAAGCAAGCATGCATTATAATTTGCTAACTGAAGCAAAGAAGTGGGCTATTAGAAGCAAACTGATGAATTACGTAAACTAAAAATTTCATTAGAAATAAGCAACATTAGAATCTTGAACAAGTAAAGACAGAATAATCAAGGGAACTGCCCCTTAACCATCATGGTCATGATCATCACCACTAGGTCATCATCATCACCACTTGATCATCATCATCATCATCATCATCATCTTGGTCCTATTTTTATTAAGCGTTGCATTTGAACTTATCTTCCTCTTAAGTTTTAATACATTTAATTTAACTATTGTATGCTTAAAATTAAAAAATCATATCTACTCCTCTATACTTAAAAGAAAGATCCAAATTTTAATAAATTTGATTTGCTTTACTGTTTATGATACAGTAAAATAGTGCAGCATGAATAGTAACTCCAAGCTTTGGTGCCAAATTCCAAGGTAAGGCGACTATGGCAATTACAATGGAACTTAGGAGGCTGGTTGGGATAGAACTGCCACATTGGTTAGTGTAAACTCATGCAACCAAGGAGCAATTCTTAAAGAAGATGCAGCAAGCATGATAAATTTGTTACACGGTAGCATAAACTATAAGGCATAAAATAATTCAAAGGGCAGACAATAACATACATAAACTAATCTCCCAATCACCATAAGCCCTTAAAAATGACTCAGAAGCTCTCAATCTCTTTGCCCATCAAGTTACACTCATATAACCAAGCACAAGACTAAGATCACGCTGAAATTCTTTAACAATCAATCAGCGCAGAACAATTAAATGAAATAACAGCATCCTAGATGAACCAGATTCATAAATCAGACCTCCAAACAAAGAAGCTGAGATCATAAAGAACAGACCTTGCTTGAAGACGGAGAATCGCCCAAGCTAGCTGGTTTATGCGAAGCAGCCGATGGCCATGAGTTCAATCTCTGCGAGGGGATGCTGAACTGCCCATAGAGGGCCATCTTGTTCCTCGGTGGCGCTCTCGGCCCCCCTTTCTCTCTATCATTCACGTGGAGCCTCGGAAAAAGAGGCTCTACCATCTTCTTTCCTTCTTCTTTCCCCCCTTTCATCCCACAAATCTCGGATCAATAGATAAAGACCCAATCTTTCAACTTGCTGACAAATTTTATTTCGGAACAAGATGAGATCTTTAAGACAAAAGCCCCACAGAAACTCTGCAAACCCTAATCTCAAACCCCAGACGGAATCCCCAAACCCTTTTCCGCCAAATCAAATCTCTCGCATAACAGCATCAAAACCCTTTGACGTAGAAAACGGATGAAGATTTTAGCAACCCCATACGCAAAATCCCAAATTCAAGGCAAAAAAAAAAAAGAATCAAAATTTTCGTTGCAAACAGCTGATAAATCTCAGAGATCTTCAGCCCGAAATCCCCCAGAAAACGTTATTAACCGAAAGAAGAAGAAGAAGAAGAAAAAACCAATCCGGCTTCGTCTCTGACTCGCATCAACCCATCTTTCGACCGAAAGCAACCTCAAAATCCCTTAACAAACTTCAATCTGCCAAACTAAATACAAGTTCTTCGACGGAAAGAGAAGGGGGAAGAGTGGAGGACAAGATAACAGGGGGAAATCTAATACCAAATGTTGGGTGGAAGATGTGGGGGAAAAGAGAATCTAGAGAGAGAGAGATAACGGAACAGTGATTTGGTGGTGGATGGAGATTGGAGAAGGGGGAGGAGATCAATATCGCAGCCGTCACTGCCGCAGTGGGGAAAGCAACGCGGAAAAGCGCAAAGGGAGTGGGGCCCAAAGGCCAGCGCGGAGGTGCGCTTTTTTGTCTGGGGGGGCGAAAGCGTCTGTCTGAATACGTATCATCGTATGCGACTGAAATCACCTTGTTCCTTTTTTTTTAGTTTACTTTTTAATATGTAATTAGCTACGTGGCGTGTTCATCTGCCACGTCCCGTGGACTACAGAAAATTCCTTTGGAAAAACACTACAGGCACATCTCCAACCATACCCTGAGGCACACCCTCTCTTTCAGTTACAGTGTATAAGATCCACTTTAGATTTTTAAAAATATCTAAAATGAGTCACGCGCACTGTAGCTGAAAAAAGGGGTGTGCCCTAACGTACGATTGGGGGTGTGCGTGTAGTGCCACTCGTTGCTTTGTGACTTTTCCACTGCAAAAAGGAATCGTATACATGATCCTCGGTAATACAATAAGATGTGTAATCTGTTTAAAATATTAATTAGGGGGGGGGGAAAAGACACGGTGTTCCAACAAAGGGTTTAAAATTAGATAACTACTATGCATCAACAAAAAAAATTGTACGGAGAATAAAGTGTCAACTCCTTGTTTTCGATATGATTTTCTATACCGAATTTTCTATGGGACTTTCGTCAAATAGTAAACAGTTAATATTACCATATTAATAGAAATCTTGAATCTTTTTGGTAACGGGAAGGAGCTAAACCCAGACTTTGAAGACTTTAAATTTATTCTTCCTAGTTTGGCAGAAAATTATTTACTCCCAAATTGGATATTATAAAAGACGAAGGTAATCTAAGGAGAAAAAAAAAATATTGCATATATTTACGTTAGAAAGTTGATATGTGGTTTGGGAGAGGTTAAACTTGGTTTCTGGGTCTCTTAATCGGCATTGATGGTTAATCTTCTGTTGAGGATCTTGGCATTGTATTTCGTTGTACAAGTAACAGATGTTAGAGGCATTGAAGGTTGATCTCTCCGACATGCCCTCAGACGCTTAAGTCAGTGACTGTTTCTAATTGATCTGAAAAGAAAAATAGAATCTACTCTTGTTGATTTTTTGTGTATGAAACTGTCTATCTTGAATTGATGAAAATTACCGTTATTTATGAATGGTTAGCGAGGACACATTGGTAAATTTTGTCAAGTGTCTGCAGTTCTAGTTCAGACCCTACTTTGCACGTGCCGACAGTTAATTAGTTGAGTCGCCTTTGTACAATGATGAGACTATCGGAGTAAAGGCGTGTCCGAGGAACTTTGAAGGGTTTGGCTTGAAAGGTCATTAATACTGACGTCGTATTAATTGTTGACAGCGACAAGGCGGTGAAGTGCGGGCACTGACTGTACATTCATTAAATGCAGCGTGAGTTTTGATGCACAGTTGTCAGGTCGCTCTATTGCTCGAGACGTGTTGTGTTGGATCCGAGTGAAGAACGCCATTCGTCTTGGAGTCGGTCATCTGGTAGAATTCGGATCGGGAGCATCTTTCATCTCGGATTTGAATCGTGAGGTGGGTCAGTTAGCTTATTACCCGGATTGTCTTTGCAGATGCCTAAGGAGTTGAACAGTTAATTGTTACATGGCAACTCTTATTAAGTTTGGTAATTTTCAAGATATAACAGCATAGTATAGAGAAGTGACTCTCAACTCAAGAGCAACAAAAATGCAAGGAATACGAAGAAAACCAAGTTAAGAAAAATTCAGAGGAAATTGAAGCTATATTCAAGTCATTGAGAAAGAAAATAGCCACCGGCACCTATGGCCTATCCCTGCATTACTTACCCTATTAATGGACAGGCAAATTGTCAACAGGCGTAGCCGGCCCAAAAAATTAAATAATAAAACAATAATTAAAAGAGATGGGCGATGTTGGGAGCTGGAAGAGAGAAGAAAAATTAAGCATGTGGCCTTTGATCGCGGCAACCGTCGTCTTGGCTGTCCACTTGAAGCGAAAGAAAGGCCACGTCAACAGGAAAATTGCATTCAAACGCGGAGCTTCCTTGCCCTTGGATTTGGATATAAATCTCGTGTCGGATGTTATATGAGACCAATCTGGGATTTGGCTAGGAAATAATAATGATTGGTACCGATTCTTAATGGGAAAATAGAAATGTTAGGGACACACTCTCAACCACAATCTTAACCACCACACCTCCTCTCCCTCTATAGTGCATTGGGTTTCACATTAATTTTTTTAAAAAAATTTGATGTGGGACCCTAGGCCTGTCCATTTCCGGGCCGGCCCGGGCTGGGCAATAACCGCGGGAGCGACCGCGACGGCGGACCGGTACTCGGGCGGGTCCGGCCCGGGCCCAACGCGGGCCGGGCGTCGGGTTGGCCGATCTTTTCAACATTTTTTTTGATAAATATAATGCTAATAAAATAGTTTAAATTTATTATATTTTATATAATTATGTATTAGTATATACTTACTAATTATTATGTAATTATATATTTTATATATACATAATATTATATATAGTTTTATTACATATATTTATATGTAAATATATTTGTATATAGTTATACAGTTATAAACTTGAGAGATACAATCCGCATAAGTAGCCATTGCCGCGTCCCCTCCGTTGGGCCAATGGGTGAAGAAGTATGCCGTTGTAGTATATTACTATACTTATATACTAAGAGAGAGAGTATACACACCTACTATTATCAAGCATATGATAAGAGAGTCTTATTATAATAAGAGGGAGTTACAATATAATGAGAGTGATATTTATAAGAGGGAGTAAATTATTATACATATATAAGAGTAGTGTATACATATATAACTTATATTAAGAGAGGTAATATATATATATATATCTATACTATTATATATATATATATTATAATATATATATATAATATATAATTATATAATGATATATATATATATATATATATATACTAAGAGAGAGAGTATACACCATCCAACCATATTATACATATATAAGAGAGACGTAACTTATATATTCATATATACTAAGAGAGAGAAGTATATATATACTATTACACACATATATTAATATAACCATAATAAAAGAGTGTATACTTATATAATTATATACGAGAGACTTAATAATATTATATAGAGAGAGTATACTTATATATATAGTATTAGTATAAGGAAAGAGTATATAATACATACATTATACATATATAAGCAGAGAGTATATATACACACACATTTATCATAATTTAAATATATTATATATTACATATATTATACATATATAAAATATATTATATATACATATATTAACATATAAGCATAAAAAATTAAAAAAAACAAAAACACTGATGGCCGTGCGGGGCCCGGCCGGGCACGCAAAAAAGCGCCGGCGGGAGGCCGGAGCCCGGACTTGGCCCGGGTTTCCGGGCCGAGGCCGGGCCCGGGCCGGCGGGCTTTTTGGACACCCCTATGGGACCCAATGTACTATAGAGGGAGAGGAGGTGTGGTGGAGGGTGTGGTTGGGGGTGTGCCCCTAGCACCACTCATGGGAAAAAAAAAAGATTTCATTAACTAAAAACTTGCACTATTCATAAAGAAGATGCACAATATCATCAAGTGTTTTTTTTCATCTCTACAATTATATTAGAGAAATATAATACTTTTGTAAACCAAAATGTGAGCAACTTTGTTACAAGTTCTAGGTGCATGTTGAACCTCAAAATGGTGCAATCTCCGACCGAACCTTGTAATGTCTTCAAAAATGTCACCAAGCTCCGGTAACTCTTTATTCGAGTACTTGATCGTACTAACCACTACCAAATTGTCTATTTCAAGAAGCACTTTCAAAAATCCAATTTTCAAGTGCAAACATTAGCACCTCCCTTGTAGCAAGAGGCTCGCATAAAACAACTTGGACAACTCTAATATTTTCTTTCGGGTCATGAACAATCCGATAGGAGGAGGAGTCCATAGTGAGTTCTCGGACGAGACATTGACATTCCCTTAGCTTCAACATTAACCATAAAGTCATCTTTAAAGGAGAGGTAGGTATCCCTGACGAAATTAGAAATTCATGATAGTGGAGCCATAATATTAAATGAATAAAAAATGATCAATTATGTTACCACCGCAATGTATTTACATACATTTAAATACATAGCCTTTTCTTAATTTTTATTTAACTAACGAAGTTACTTTGAGTCACAATTTAATATCATAAAATAAATGTCCTCAAATAAGTCATGACTCATGAGTTAAACCTCCAACCCAAAATAAAGAGAATGATTTGTTAGATCAAAAGAAACTTTATTTATTTTAAGAGATGAAACCCTAATCAATCCCAAAGTTGTTCATGTCAAACTATTAAGATAATTAAGCAGATGTGGAACCATATCTGAACCAATGGAGTAGGACGTGATTCTTGAGTTTTGAGATGTAGATCTTCCAAATCTTCTATGTATATATATCATCCATAGAGAAATCCTAGTCTTTCTGAAGATGGAAAATTAGAAAAAGATTGTACGTACAGATTTGAGGAATCATAACCCTATTTATAACTGATATTAGTTATTCATATTTATCAATTCAGCCTATCATAGAATTAATAATTATATTTTGATCTCTACCTATATGAGGCACATATTTTAATTATGCGTTAAAAGCCTAAACCCTAAATTAGACTTTAATAGGTTAACCTTGATTGACAGCATATAATACATATTTATTTAATATATTGGCTCATATATTGGATTTAAATCTAACAATCTTCCACTTGGGCCATATATGTTACTATATAAATATGAATTATAATATAACCTTATGAGCTCATGAATTTTGCTATCAAACAGTATGCATCCTTAATAATCTCGTTTATCAGTTATATCAACATAGGATCAAGCAATCTTCATTGCATTTATCACAACTAGACCCATCAATGGTCACGTATACCTACACAACCAATAACACAGATCAAGCATGGGTGTAGCATCGAAATTTTATGTAGTATGATCTTAACATGTCTATTTCTAATTGATCCACCTTAAAACCTTAGTGAGATCAAACCATACTCAAAATTA